ATGCTTATATTGTAAATTAGTTGGTTTACATTTTATAATTATTTTACTATAGCAATAATAACAAATCCAAAATATCTTATAATATCATATAATTTAAAATATATTATTGACAACTGTAAAAAAAAATAGTACATTGCATAATTTATAATGCAAATGTAAGACGGACATGATAACCACTACACCGCAGCGTCACTTTGTGCATTAACTTTCATAATAAAAGGCTATATTGCCTTTTCAATCTGTTATAGTGGGAATTGTCCCACATAAAAAACTTCAAGGAAAATTAACATGTATAAAAGACCTGAGGACCAGCACATTAATGTGGCATGGGTCTCGTGATGGTCAGTGTGGTGACATCAGCTCGCCATGATAGAGTCCCCTAATTTTTTAAAAAATATCCCAATTACCCTTGCAGAAAAAATTGAAAGCAAATGTAGATTTATGACGCCATACTGTGTAAAAACACCGAGTCATGATGTCACTCGGGCGGTTCACTATAGAGACTCGGGCAATTCGGGTGGTTCACGGTAGAGACTCGTCGGTTCTTCTCTAGAATCGGGCGATACTGCGAATTTTACTAGAATCAATACGGGGTGACCGATTCTTGTTTGACAACACCGAGTCATGATGTCACTCGTGCGGTTCATTGTAGAGACTCAGGGCGATACTGCGAATTTTACTGGAATCGACATGGGGTGACCGATTCTCATGTCGACTCGCCCCGAGTCTGTGCTGACTCGAAGTGATTTAAAAGTCGTCGAGTCAGCACGGACTTGGGCGAGTCGACACGGGAATCGGTCACCCTGTGTTGATTCCAGTGCAGTATGGCTCTGTTCTAGAGAAGAACCGGCGAGTCTCTACAGTGAACTGTCTAGGTCTCTATAGTGAACCGCTAGAGTGACATCATGACTCGATGTTTTTACACAGTATGACGTCATAAATCTACATATGTTTTCAATTTTTTCTGCATGGGTAATTGAGATATTTTTATTCAAAATAGGGGGACTCTATCATGACGAGCTAATGTTAACACACTGACCATGACAAGACCCCATGCCCCATTCAATCGCTATTAATGTGTTGGTCCTCAGGCCTTTTATACATGTTAATTTTCTTTGAAGTTTTCGATGTGGGATAATTCTAACTGTAACAGCTTGAAAAGGTAATATAGCCTTTTATTATGAAAGTTAATACACAAATTGATGCCGTAGTGTAGTGGTTATCATGTCCGTCTTACATTTGCAATACAAATTATGCAATGTACTATTTTTTCTTACAGTTGTCAGTAATATATTTTAAATTAGATGATATTATAAGATATTTTGGATTTGTTATTATTTGTATAGTAAAATAATTATAAAATGTAAACCAAAAATTTCAATTTAAGTATATAATATTATAATTAGTTAGGTCGTAATAATTTTGAATTATAGTTAGTTAGGTTTAATAATTTGGGTTTTTAGTGGATTAAGGTTTTCCGCCAATTCGAGATTTTGGTGGCCATTTTTTCATCGATTTAATCCATTTGTTATTGTAGTCCATGTATGATGATATATTTCATCCATGATAATTCTATGTTTAATCTTTTGGGTGATGTAAATTTAATGGTTAACAGTAGTTCATGTAGGGAAAGAACATCTCAATATTCGTATATTGATACAAAAAAATGAAAGTTCTTAATGGAGTACCCCTTTTTCTTATTGTATTCCTTAAAAAAAACATTTATAATGAATTTTAATAAAATTTTCAGATTTGTTTTTAGGCTAAATCTGATCGATTCGACTGATTCCGATCCGGATGGGTTTTTGGGGTGCCCGATCCGGGGCATCGATCCGTTTTTTATACCAATGGTTCTATCACAATCATCTTAAGAAAGAAAATTGTTTTAAGTCATTATCTGGAATACTACAAGTTGAATGTCGATTTTGCTTCTCCTCTAAGTACTTTTGGACCTTTTAAACCGTCCCTCGTTTTCCCTTACTCATTTTGTTACTGTAGTGTTTTAAAATCAAGACTTGCTCGAGGACTTTGGAGGTGTTCAGGGCTAGTCGACTTGGCGGTTCTCGAGTGGACTCCGTGAGTCTTGACAGAGATCCCTAGAGTTGTTCACAAAAAATCCCAAAAAAATGGGAAAGTTAAAAAAAAAAAATTTGAACAATATGAATTCATGAAAAATAAGAAAACCAATCTATGAAATTATAATTGATGAAAATCAATTATCTCTGTTAAATTACAATAAAAAGAAAATTGAATCGTACTTTTTTTCTTTTAAAAAATACAACAAAAATATAAGGTTGACTAAAATATAACTTGATCTAGTAATATTTGTCCAAATAAATTTGTTTGTATGAATATGAACAGAAACCAATTTCACTTACCAAAAGTTTTGAAGCCAATCCTCCTATCTTTGTGAAGTGGTTCTCAAATATCCCTTTAAACTAGGTTTTGGCGTACCGTTAACTTCATAAAAAAAAAAAGTAGGTTTCGGCATCAAGTTCAGATCTAGTTGATCCAAGCTCTTGAACTTTTGGGCCAAATAGTAGTTTTGCATTCAAAATCTTGTAAATCCAACTAACCTTAGATTTGAATAGAGAACTCAAAAATACGCTTAGAGAACAATTTTCAAGGTTGATCAAGCTACAGTTGTGAAACTCTTGCAAGAACATGTCATCCAAGCCCTAGTTCAAGAAAAAGAAAAAAAAAATTCTTGCAAATCCGAGATTTTTATTTTTTGTGGAATCAGATGTTTTGAATTGATAGAGGATGAAAATACACCTAGGGATGAAGTTTGAGAACCATCTGAGCTCAGACAGTGGAGAAAATGGAAGAAAGGGGATCTGATTACCGCCCCCTTCCCCTTTTTATTGAAAAATCATTGGACATAGCAAGTTTATGTGGGATTGACGACTCCGTCAGAAACCATCCTGAGTTGCTACAATCAATGTTCGAAAATTCGGCCGCCCGACCACCTAGACGAAAAAAATTTCAAACCGCCTAGGCGCAGTCTGGACGGGTGCATTAGGCATTTTTGTTTCTGGGCGGCGCCTGGGCGCTATTGTCTGGGCACCCGCCTAGGTGGCGCCTCGTGGCAACTTGCGGGTGGCAGAAAAAACCCTTGGGTGAGGGAAAATAATGTAATTTTTTCCCCCTAGAAAGGGGGAAAAGGGTTTTAGGAAGTATTTGAAACCCCCAATAGAAAATCCGTGGCCTTTAGGGTTAGAAAACCCCCTCAAAAACCACTATTTTGTGATTTATCGAAAGATCAATAAATCATTTATTTTTTCGTTTTCTTCCCAAAACGAAGGCAATAGTTCTTGGGTAGATTTGGAGCTTTTAATAGTTGATTTTGAGAACTTTTGGCAATGCAATAGACGAGGTTTGTACCGACATCGATTTGATTTTGATATTTTTAAAGTATTATCATATTTGAAAGAGGGTTTTGATTTTATTTTGCTACAACATATTATGTTATGAATCATGTTTTTTTTCTTTTACTTTTTTTTTTTTACGGTATATTTACATGTTTGTAGTTAAAAGTTGATTTTTTTGGTGATTTATTAATTTTTTTCTCACTTGGACGATGAAATTGAGCATATGTCGTATTCTGTTATGAATAATTGATTCCTTTTTTGTACAATGTATCTTATTTTGATAATCTATTGTTTTTGTTTTAGTTTATTTGATAAATAATTGATTATCTGATATCTTAATGGGTTAAGTCTTATGTGAAAGTGAAACTAAAGTCTTAAAATGTCTTATATATTCAGTTATTCATTTAAGAACTCCCTTGTTTTTTATGTTTGGGGTGGGGTGAGGGTACCCTATCCCTGGGCGCCCTCCTAGTTGCCCGAATCCGTTTTTTTGAACATTTGCTACAGTTTCTCAAGTGAGTAGTGCGAAAGTACTGCTCCGAATGAGTTGGGGGTCTTTTTGGACTCGTTGGCCTGCAGAGTCCAATTAACTCGGCCAGGTCTGAGTTGGATTCATCTAGGTTTCAAAAACTGGTTTCCTTTTGTCTTTTTCTACCCTTTGATTTATTGTGCCTATTGTCTTTTACAGGTTGGTTTTCTTGGGATGAAATTCATGAAACAGAAAAAAGCTTTTTCAAAGAATTCTTTGATGCAAGTTCCCCATCTAAGACCACAAAGCTATACAAGGAATACAGAGATTTCATTATCAGTAAATATCGAGAAGACCCAACAAGAAGACTGACATTCACTGAGGTGAGGAAGTTGTTGATTGGGGATGTAAGCTTAATTCACAAAGTTTATCATTTCTTGGAAACTTGGGGTTTAATAAATTTCCAAGTATCAGATCATACAAAGGAAATGACTATTAATGACACACAAGTAGTCAATTTTGAGGAAGGAGTTCCACCAAGTATTCGTGTAGTTCCTGCCATGAATGTTACAAAACAAATGACTTCAGACAATGCTACCGAAAGAGTTGTGTGGGGGTTTGAGCCACCACCTTTGGCATCTTATGTTGATGTTTTTGGTGAGGACATTCATAGAGAGGCGAAGAGGAGGAAGGAGGAAACGGCTGTTACAAGTTTGGCTTGTAAAGGTTGCGGAGCTGAATGTTCATTGAGCCACTACCTTTCTGTTAAGGTACATATTTTTTATACCCTTCTTTGCGGTCTCATTTAGCAGGGTTGCTTGCTTTCAAGTTTATATTGATGCATTTCAAATTTAGATCCTATGCATCAATTTTATGTATGCATTTTTCATGTTACATACTTCAAAGAGGTACATTCCTTTTTCATTTAATCATGAAGGCCTTTGATTCATCTCTTGTACATAGAATATTTTTGAAAGAAAGCTTTTACGTGAACGCCAGTAAATCAGAAATTAAATACTGTGAGCTATGAATGCAAATCGACTAAAGGGCATCCCTTTTATAATTTCAATTATCTGGAAATTTATGTTTCCGTTAAAATATTAATGTTGAAATTTCTTACTACGGCTTGTCACCATTTCTTATAAAGCTCATATAAAGTTCTAGGAGTGTTGGTCTGTGACATGGAATGTATGGGTGTGACATTGGAATTTATTACAAAATTAAATGGGCATACTGAAAAAGTTGTAATCGAATTTGATTTGCTAGATAACATTCAAAAAAAGAAAAAATGGTTTGTTAACTTTTATGTTTGCCTGCTGACATGAATGGCTATTTGCACTAACTATGAGAGAGAAGAAAAGATAAGGGGCTACCATGCGGTATTACTATGTGATGTAATTGTCTGGGATGTTATGGTGGCTAGCTTACTGTGCTGTATTACTATGTGATGTAGTTATTTGGGACATTATACTTGCTTGTTGAGATCTCAGGTATGATTCTCTTGATCTGTTTTATGTAAAGGATTGGATTAGGTGGCCAATATCTGCATTTACCTTATATTGATACAGATGGATTTTGTTCCAAGTTGCCAAGAGTGATCTTTATATAGTTTCTTTGCATGCTCTCAGCTGCCAATTGATGTGGATGAACTTCTAAACATTTAATTTTCTCAAAAACCTCATCTTATGTCTTTGATCTTGCAATTTGAACTTTAAACGGCATTTTCTAGAAAAATATATAAACCTGAGATGTACGTTTACGGGTGAACATTTTTCTATGCTGATTGTTCTATGACTGCTAATTTTCTCAATGTTCTGTCTCTGAATCTCTTGTTATCAGCTGTACCCATTTTAGTCCTTTTTTGGCAGGGCGAGTCGATACTTTGTGGAAAATGTTTTGAAAATGTGACAAAAGCTGAGGAAGAAACTGCAGATGGCACCAGGACTACTGCTGAAAAACAAGGACCTGTTTCTTGGACTGATTCAGAAATGTTGTTGCTCTTAGAGGGAACTTTGAAGCATGGGGATGATTGGGATAAAATTGCAGCACATGTTCGAACCAAGAGTAAATATGACTGCATCTTGAAGCTCATACAGCTTCCTTTTGGCGAGCACTTGTTAAGCAATGTAAATACTAAAGGCAATCTTGAGTGCCCAAAGAAAAATGCAAGTGTCAATAAGGAAAACCCAAATCCCTTTCTTGAAGCTATAATGAAAGAGGAGCAAAAGGATGAGCACATTGAAAAGAGCTTGCATATGGAAATGAATGATTTCTCAGTTCATCCTCTCAAGCAGAACTACCTTCCTTCACTTACTGATACAAGTTTCTCATTGATGTCGCAGGTTGGACTTTTTTTTACGGTTACTTTTGTGCTATTCCATTTCTGTATTATGGTGTTTGGCTTGATGAGGATACGGGTGGTGGGATCCTTCCCAGAAGCATTCGCATAAAGATTTAGCTGAATTTAGTGATTGGAAGATTCAAGAATGTAAAAACCTGTATCATATATTTACAGAAAAAAAAGAAATATATTGACTCACATGCAGTTGTGGTTGTGGTTTTTGAAGTTTGAAAATCTCTTATATTCTCCAACTATCTCCTCACTTTGAAGATTTTATTTTGTTGTTTTGTTCTGTTATTCTACTTTAACCTTTTTGTCTATAATTATTTTTGCCTGGCCAAAAATATTTCGTTCATGTAATATTTGTAGTTTTTGTCATTTTGCTATTTTTTTTGTTTGTTAAAAGAAAGGAAATAAGTTTTAAGTGACTAATACTATCCTTTAACTTTACATCATTTAAACTCTCCCCTCATTTATGAGTCTTATATTTATGTTTCATTTTTCTTATATTTATGTTTCATTTTTCTATTATTTGTACTTAGTTGATCTAATTCAAATAATTCTTTTTCCTTTCTGTTTTGCTTCTTCTATTTAATTAGTTATCCTTTACAAAAGGAATAAATTAGGAGCTTCTATGCCTTGGATACACTTAAAGAAGCATCCAATAATGCCATAGATAGGTGGCGAACTTTAAAGTGTTCGGTTATCATAACTTTTTTATATGGAAATTAACATTATCTATGTTAGGTAGCTTTCCTGTCTACAATTGTCGGCCCCCAGATCGCAGCAGCTGCAGCTGAGGTTGCTGTTATGGCATTGGGCAACGAGAACCCATCTGGAAGAGAACTCTTGGATTCAAAGCAGGAAAATGTGACATTTGCCTGCTTGAATAATGATCCAAAGAGGTTTGTATTTGTTTTTCTTGTGGACAATGCCAGGACTAAATGTACTCAGGAACCTGTTTCTTTCTCGACCAACAATCTTATATTTTCTTATTGATGACAAGACCAACAAACGTACTCTAGTTCATTGTTTTTTTTCTTAAAACTGTTTCAGAGTTTTAGAGATTGAGGACAAAAGGGAAATGAATGAGACCTCTAGACAGTCAGGTGTGTATTCCCCAAAGCATCAATATTAGCTGGTTTTATTTGTGCCCAAAATCATGTTTGTTATTGTGATTTCTGTTAATTTTTGTGGCTGATGCTATTTCAAATTCTTCCTCTTCTATAGGACAATATTAAATAGTTTCTCTATCCTTTTGCAAACTATAACAAGAAACTCCCTTGCTCTCAAAATCTTATTAGCTTGTTTTTAAATTTTAATATGTTGCCATCAATAATTTTATGCTTTCTAAAAATAGCGTCAATCTTTTCTATAGTGACCACAATGCCTACTAGTCAGAATTATTTAGATCAATGTTATTAACTTCAGTTCGGGAGAATCACCCAAAGTCTTTGGGATTAACTACTCCATCGAAGCTAAGTGAAGGGAGAAAATCTTGGTTGATTTTTCAGGATTCACAGTGGGTGGGAGAAAACTTTGGAAAATTTGCATCTTCTCTCTCTTTGAACTATGGCCTACATTCACAGGCCATGTGTACGTTACTTATATGTGTATTTTAGAGAGAAGAGAAAACCATTTCCCCCATCTAAATGAATACAAGAATAATAATTAAACTAAAAAATTAAAGGTAAAAATGTGTTTAATTTAAGAAATTAAATTCATAAAGAACATTCTGCTAAAGTGATAATTTGTTTGGCGGGTTTAAATTTTCTATTGAAATGTTTCAAAGTTTAACAAGAGATTGAACAGATTTCAGAGTATCACTTTTATGCTCGAATTTTGAAAATTATTACTGTATAAGCACAGGTGTCGGATGCTACAACCAAAGCCAAACACCACTGGCATTTTCCAAAATGGTCTATTCTCTATAATAATGTAATTTCATTTTCCTTTGTGTTTTTTTAGAATGTCAAAATTGCTTATCTTGGCCTTGTTATGACCGGGCCTGAAACCAATTCTTTGTATTTCAAAACAATGTTCCAATGAGAACCAGTTGTGGAAGAAATATGGCACAAGAAAAGTGCCACTCTTTTTAAGAAATAAGAAAAAGTAGAACCTATATTCATTTTTCCTTGTTGATGGAATCTGACACAGTACCTTGCATATGACTGTAGTAACTAGACTTATTATGGTTTTGGTGAAGGCTCGAGCTGGCATTCCTAAATATTGTAGGCAGCACCGGACCATGTTTCTTCCAAAAGGAAGCCATGAATGAATTTCCTCTCTTTATGCTTTTTTGCTCAATGCAAAATGTTGCAATTGTCCATTCCCTTTTGCTGGTGCCCCTTCCTTTATTTTTCCTTTAACAGCATCCTTACCATTCTTAGCTGTTTTAATTTTGTCTATATATTACATTATTGACTGGAAGTGTTAAGGGAAAGTATGCCATAATTCTACCCTATGAACCATGGTGTGTGGTACTCCCGAGTTTTATGAACCATGCTGATCCCATCGGATTGTTGGAGTTTAAATGTACATCCAGATGAATGTCCTTGTTTGTACCATTGTTGTTAATTTCCAAGCATCATATAGAGCTTGTTGTTTGGCCACTATTTACCACCTTAATTGATTGTGATATTCTTGTTATCTGTGAGTTGACAGGGACATCCAGGGTCCCAAGTGAAAATGGTGTTGGTTATTCAATATTGCAGTTGAGAGCTGCTATTGCAACAGCTCTTGGGGCTACCGCTGCTCATGCAAAGTTACTTGCTGATCAGGAAGAGAGAGAAATAGAGCACTTAATGTCTATTTGCATCAAAATTCAGGTGTGTAAGGCTTGCTTTTAAGTCCTTCTTTGTTCAATTTTTGTCACAAGTTTTAAGGAAAACCTTTATATAAGGTGTCAACCTTATACATGTCTCAAAAACCATTTGGAAAAGGTTGTATTGATGTTAAAAGAGCCTTCAGTTGATCATCTATACCTCGAGATGTACTCATATGGAAGGGACGACATATTTTGCTAGTGTAGGCAGTATGCTCTTTATTAGTGGTGCTCCATATTTTCTTGATTAGTGATATTTCATTTTATTCCGCTGCATGCTTTCTTTTTCATTTATTTCCAAACCCATTTTCTTTCACATGAAAGATTCTTCCTTTTGATTTTATTCAAAATCTTTTTCACGTGTTACCTTCCTTTTTTGCAAAATCAATTTTTTTACAAGGTTGTTTATTCTTTTCTTGCATTAGTGTGATTCATCGTGGTAAATTTGATTTTTTAAATGCCGTGGGTTTATTTCTTGTGTATATGCAATAAATTTTTCCTTCGGGAAAAGGATTGGTGAAAGACCTTAGCCTCATTTTTGCCATTTTCTCTTGAAGAAGCACTTTTCTCATAAACTAAGTATCTATGCTTATGTCCAGCTTAAGAAGGTTCAGTACAAGGTGAGCTATTTTGAGGAGGTCGAGATGAAAATGAACGAGGAACTTGGCTTCTTACTACAAAAGAAAAAGATGATTCTTGATGATCGAATCCTTTTATTACAGAAGGCTCTTGATGTAGGCTTCTTGAAAGGCAGAGAGAACGATCCCCCGAGGTGAGTAAAGCATTATGAAAAGGGTAAGACTCGGGCTTGATATCTGGACTCTGGATAGAGTTTCAAAACCCGCCTTTGGAAAAATATGGCTGACATAAAAAAGAGAGACGAGGGAGAAGCACTGTTCAAACTTTTGAAGGTTTTGGTTGAAATAGGGTGATCGTTGGCCTACTTCAGTTTTGCTGTGGTACAAGACCCTTTTGATTAGCCGATCCCGAAAAGGCTTTGACGATGATGACAACCTTTTGATATCGACTCTTACTAACATTCTAACCACTTCTCCATGTAGACCTAACTCGAACATCCCTGTAGCATTTACATTTTTGCAAAATGAAATATGAAATCTTCTTGCTGTGTTTTCTCCTGTGTACGTTTTAAGATGCCTCTTATAATTTTTGCCCCTGGATGAATGACTATTCAATGTATGCTTTTAAAATAGAAATATTTTGTAATGCCGCATATGCGTTTAAAATAGAAATATTTTGTAATGCCGTATCTTTATACAGACAATCGCACCGCAAAATCTCACTTGAAAATGCAGTCCCAGTGCCAAAACTGCAAATCATTATAACCACTTACGGATCTTAAACAAAGAATTTCAAGCTTAAAAATGGTGTAGACCACATTACCAAATTTATGTAAACCTTATCCTTTAAACCAAGATTGATTTTTAAGTTTTTTTCTCAGTACTGGCACGCCCATTAGTTCCCTGAGTATATTTATATAATGTGAAATAGACCACTATTTTGGTAGTCAATTCTATAGGAAAATGCCAATCTACTCCCTCGAGCTTCTTTCTCAAGATGCAGACCATATGCCACCATGTTAGAAGATTTACAAAACTTCATACAGAACCAAATCTCTTGCACGACATCGAACTCCCATTAAGGCAATTATGCTACAAAAGAATGCAAGCATTTGTACAATAAGTCAATCTGTACATTTCAGTACCTTTGAAACACCTAATACAAAAGATACAAAATTTACAGACCCGGAGCTGTCAATCTATTCACACAGATTATATGCTGATCACATTTGGTTTCTGAAATATCTGCGTTCACATGTAATTAAATATGAATATAGACCCATCTAAAAAATGCACAATGCCTGTTTCTTGAGCTTGAGCTATATACACAGTATCGGATCACTTTCTCTTTTTGCTGTAACTATTCCTTTTTCTTCGGAGTGTGTATGTTGATTATGCACAAGAAGATCAGGAATACGATCTTATCAACCTGAAATTGTGAAAATTCTTGGCCTTGAAGATATTGCTGAAGAGATAGCTGGCTATGGTCTCATGGGGTGGTGATTTTGGGGGAAGAAGAGAGTCTCTCTTCACATGCAGGTTGGCTTGGCCAATCTCTTGACGTATGGCATCTATTGTCTTGGGATCAACTGGGTTTCCTGAAACATCAGTGAGATAAAATGTATCGATTGCTTTTCCACTCTTGGTAGTGATCTCAGCCCTAGTGATGGTCAAGCTATTTTCTCGAAAGATTCGAGTAACGTCGGAAAGGAGACCAACCCTGTCTTCTGTGCATAACTCCAATTCTAGTCCCTGAAAAACCAAATCACGACTGAGAAGCCTAGGAGAGAGAGAGAGAGAGAATTTAGGATGGATTACATATCAGCTAAATGGTTTCTATGAGCCCAAAGGAATCTTGATTTTGGACTAGTGTTCATAGAACTAGACAAGACCAGCTGGCCCGATTGGTACGAAAATTGACCAGACATGTACCAATTCAGTCTAGATTAAGACCATGAAGAAATCAAAATTTTAATGAGTATTTCTGTTACTGCCACCTTAGAAATGAGAGAGAGTGAGTACCAAGGTGAGGTCATTCATGTGAAAAAAGAAAATTTACCTCTGATGCTCTGCGTTCAATGGCTGCTTCAAGACATTGAATCACACGTTGTTTCTCGGCTTCTGAGCTCACAGGGAGGCCATCCACATGCCTGATGTAGTATTCCTTTCAATCAAAAGAAGCCACTTTCAGATTATCCAAGTCTACATTGTAAAATGCATTAAGAAAGATAAGATGCATTGTTTGGTAATGTTAAAATCATGGGTCAATACTTTTATTGCATTGTTTCTTGCACATTCTTTTAAGGCCTGAATCTTAGATACGATAAAAGCTCAAGCCTGACTGCGTAAGGGTTCCCTACCAAAAGCTTTCAAGCTGCACTTAGAATTGCTAATAATACAACAGTACATGCCAAACATGGGCAGCCTCAAGACCAAATGATGTGAGCTCTAATACTGTGAAGTGGAACACACACACTTATATTCTTAGTAAAAACCAAATACCATTCTGCTTATTTTCCAATTTAAGTTCATCACTAGAGAATTTTTAACTTTCCAATAGGCATCAATGTCATGACTGACCCAAAAAGGACCAGGCTCTAAAGAGAATCATACCTGATAAGCTTCCCTTCTTCCTGTTTGCACAGTCCCATGATAAACCACATATTGCATGTCTGTTAGAGTGCAAACAGTGTCAAACAAAAGCTTTGGCCTATCCTTGGAACGCATCGTAACCACTGAATAATCTCTCTCGAAACAATCTAACAATGTCACATCAGGCCTGAGGCTCTTATCCTCTTCTCTCTCTAACCCATCCCTTTCCACCCTCTCGTAATCTCTATCTGCAAACATCATTTGATGAAGCCTCCTCTCAGTGTGAGTAAGCTCAACGGATACCACTGTTTTTGCAGCTCTATGAGTGCTGTTCCCTTTCAACACATTGCACAAAAGCTCCCTTATAAGAGAAAGCCTTTTTGGGTCATCAATGGCGGCCCCTGTATCAACATCAGTGACTTGAACAACTGCTGCTGCTCTTGAATTATGGGTCCAAATCTCAGCATTCACAACATTACAATTCAGGTTGGTAAGGACTGCACACACTTCAGAGAGTAAGCCAGGGCGATTGGTCCCTGTCAATTCAATCGAAGTGTGCTCTTTTGAGAGCTGGACTCCCTTGGATCTTCTAAAGGAGGGTGAGAAACATGCATCTGATTCGAGGGACTGCAAAAATTACAGAAAACATCAGTTGGGTTCGAGCAACGATCTGTGTTTGTGTGCATTCCATAGATTGCACAAAATGTGTGTGCGCCCTATGTGTGTGCCAGAGAGATCATATTGCACAAAGCTCAGGGGAAATTAATCAAAATGTTTTGTGTCTTGCTCACTGTTTCTGTCTCTCATTCTCAGGGTAAGGCAATAAATAAACAAAAACACAGCTCAGGTGAGATTAATCAAAAAGTTGTGTCTTGCTCAATGTTTCTGTCTCTCATGTCAGGGTAGGGCAATAAACAAAATTTTGTTTGAGTGCAAGATCCAATGAAAAGTTCGAGCAAGTACCTTTTGAATATAACTAAGAGTGTTTTCATCTCTGAGTTTCTCTCCATTCTGATCAGTGACCTTGAATACTGGTAAGAGAGGGGAAAAAACGGAGTATGCTTAAAGAGGAAAAAAGATTTAAGAGCTTTAGAAAAAAAAAAAAAAATCATAACCTCGAGCAGGTGAAAAGAGTCAAAAGCTTCATTATAGAGCTGAATTTGAAGATAAAAACAGAACACTAACCATCCATAAACCAACCCCCATCAGAGGATATGTAAGCTTTGGTAATAATGAGGTCGAGATCAGTTAGAACTTGAATTACTTGAAGTAGAATCCCATGCTTATTAACACTGTCCACCTGAATACGAATGCCTCTCAGTAATCCAACAAAGGATGTGATATGTAACAAGCAAATCAACAGAAATTATTCAAAAGATTTAACCATATAATCAAAGGCAGCTTTACCTGAATTACAGTGGCGCTTTCACAGGCATTGTTGTCAATTACAACCCTGCAACACAAACAATAAGTCATTTTTTTTCAATGATAAAAGCCCCATTGAAAACGAAGAATAGCCTGAAATGAGCAATTCCAATAAATTACCAGATAAAAAAATATAAATAGTATGGAATTCAGAAAATGGAAAATTAGAAAAACCAAGTAAATAAAACAAAAAATAATACCAGAAAAAGTTAATGTCGTAGAAAATAAATTCCAAAATTTTTGAAGAATAATAATGACAAGAGAATAATATAAAATAAAAAATAAAATAACAACCATAAAAAGGAAGAAATCCATGGATTTTCCCAGGAAAACAAGAAAACACGAAATAGAAGAGGACGAAGATCGGGATATAATGCAAGGCAAATTGAATCAAATGACCAAAAATAAAATCATACCCATATTTTAAGAAATTTCAAACTTCCAGAAAATAAAAAAGTAAAAATGAATAGCCTAGAAACGAAGCAAACCATGTAATAAAAAAAAACGTAAAGAAAAATATCTTTGCTTCAAAATTAAGAAAGCTAAAAAAACAATACCAGAACTCAATGAAGCCTAAACAAGAAAATATGTGTTTCCATGAAATTTTGAAATAATCCAGAGAATTTAAGTCAAGCAAACTAAAAAAAACAAAATTCAAATCCATGACATTCAAACAAAAACGAACAAAATAAAAAAGACTAACCTAGAACAGAAACAAAGAGCCAAAACTTTGTAAATGGGTATACAATGGAACTTTAGAATCACCAATTATTCCCGAATTAACAAAAATTCCCAAAATAATTTGGGCGAAAACCCATTTCACACAAAGACTAACAGTTAATTTTTTTTTAAAAAAAAAAATCCAAAGAGGAAACCGAGCAAGAGGATATGAGGAAACCCCAAAATAATTGCGCTCAAAACCCAAAAAATTTCACAAAAGGAATTCTTACCAATCCAGAAAGAATTAAGTATAAAACCAAAAAAACAAAACTGCAAAGAATTACAGTTACTCATGAAACTTCAAATAAGCAACCCAACCAGAGAGCATAAAAAACCCACGAAAAAAATATACAGAAACCCATAAAAATTAAGCAAAGAAACAGAGGAAGAATCAAGGGAGAGATTACCTTGGGGGGTTCATCCTTCTAATAAGTTTCTCAATTTCATCATCCATTTCAGACCCAAATAACCCAACACAGAGTTCCTCACTATTGCTTAAAAAAACCCTAAATAGAAAAACTCTAAAAATAAATCGGAAACATGATCCAAGTTTCTTGGAACCAGAGAGTTAACGCGTCGTGGCTTAATGGTTTATGGCTTTCCATTATCCCCCCCATATTTTAGGGTCAATTTTTCTCTTTTAATTGGATTTTATTTAGTATCAATTCCCAATGGTTTAAGGATTCCCTTTTCGCTTTTTTTTTTTTTAAAAGATTTTTGGAGCTCTCATTGCCCGTGAATAGCACGAGCCTAGTCTAAACAAACTACGTGTCATGATCTGATTGGTAAGATCGCCTTAACGGGCAGTTCGGGCAGATTACGGTTTCTATTTTTTAAAAGAGGATCAAGATTTTTATTTCAAATTAGATCGATCTATTTTGATATTACCACCCAATATAACGGTTTTTTATTGTAATTCCACCATGTTAGGGAATTTAGATATTTGAAAAGTAATGCTTTGGTGGGGCCTACACCCACATTTCTTTTCAAAATTCGAAAGCCTAGTCTTGCTATTGTCACCTATAAACTGGGTGATTGATTAATTCGGCCTGATTATAGTATTGCCACCCGGATTTTATTTCGGCGGACCGTACAAACGAGCGGGAATTCAAGGCACGTGATTTGTGACAGGTCCTAGCTGGATCTTCCACGTGTACGGTACAGTTGGTCGGAATAGCGTGACCCAACGGCTTCCGCCTCACCCAACTTTGGTGGATCACTTTC